CCCCGTTTCCGATCTTGCTGCCACGGCCAATCACCGTAAGTGTGCCTCATGCATCTTTGAAATAGGTTTTGGGGCTTATGAAGGAAATCCCACTCAATTTTGGCTCGCAGCGGTCCAACCCAGTTGTGACTAGCATGGAAACCAAGGCCACCCAGTCGCCTTGGTTTGGTGATATCATCCCACGCAGCGTAGTGCAGGCTCTTATGGGCCGTGTCTTTGTCCCATAGAAATCTACGACAGATCCTTTCCACCTCAGCGAGAACACCCCGAGGAACCAAGGTGTGAGAAATAGCATAAACCGAGAGAGGGATAAGCACTGAATTGATCATGGTAATTCTGCCAGCCAGGGATAAGTGATGAGTCCCCCAGGAGATCGTGAGTGCATGCACTTTCAGTAGAAGAGAGCTGAAATCAGCCTTCGTCAGCCTTCGCATTGCAAACTTGACACCGAGGTAGTCCATTTCCTCCACCTTGCGGAACCCAGCAAGCCTGGCCAAACAGATATTAGTTGACGAAGGCACGAGATGACTAAAAAGGATCGCCGATTTATTCTTGTTGATTCGTTGCCCCGTCCAGCCACAATAGTCCTCCAGAATGGTTATAAACTTTCTGACAATGGCATCTTTCACACCTGCAAAAAATAACACATCATCAGCGTAAAGGAGGTGGGACACAAGAGGTCCCCCCGGCCGGATTTGAACCCCCAGTTCCCGATAGTTTTGGTGAAAGTGCAGCGAGAGAAGCTCCGAGCAAAGAATAAACAGATACGGTGAGAGCGGGCACCCCTACTGGAACCCACAGCTAGCTGTAATCCCCTCCGAAAGTGTCCCATTGACCAGAATAGAAAAGCGAGGCGTGGTGACACAGTTCAGCACCCAGGTACGAAAGCTCAGAGGAAAGCCCATTTTCAATAGCACCAGCTCCAGAGTTCTCCAATTCATCTTGTCATAGGCCTGCTCCATATTCACCTTCATAGCCATCCAACCCTTGGACGATTTGGACACCTTGAACTTGTTCACAATCTTCTGCCCCAAAAGGTAGTGATCGAAGATCGAGCGACCATGAACAAACGCCGCCTGCTCCTCAAATATAAGGTTGGGTAGAAGTCCTTTGATTCGGGAAACCAGAATCTTCGCAATAATCTTATAGATAGTTTGGCATAAGCTGATAGGTCTGAATTTGGAAGGATGGGTTGGTTTGTCAACTTTCGGCAGAAGGACAACAATCATCTCCTTCCAAGTCGGCTCCATATGCCCAGTCGTGAAGAATTCTAAGCATGGCGCCGTAACTTGCTCGCCCACAATGTCCCAGAAAGCCTTCAGGAATGAAGCCGTCACGCCATCCCTTCCTGGAGCACAATTTGGCCCCATGGACTTGACAGCAAGCCAAATTTCAACCCGGGTAATCACCCTGTCAAGGTGCACAACGAACTGCTCCATATTCACCAACCGGGATTCCAAAGAAGGCCATCCCGTCTCAATAATAGGAGTGCTATTCCATTTTTGGGCAAAGAAATCATGAATCACTCGCAAGATATCCGCCTGCTCCATAGCAGTCTGACCGTTCGGAAGGTTCAGGTGCTAAATTTGGTTCGATCGCCGCCTTGCAGAGGCCATGGAATGAAAGAAACGGGTGTTCCCATCCCCCTCCTCAATCCACCGCACCTTCGCGTGCTGCCCCCACCACATCGAAATTCTATACAGAGTAGCCTTTAATAACTGCACCTTATATCTCAAAGTCTCGGCTTGGGTCTCAGATAGTCCAGACGGAGAGCATTCACTCTCCTGGAGAATACCAATCTCCCCGTCAAGATCATCCTTCAACTGATTTAACATCTTGATCTTGTTCCTGCTCCAGAAGAAAAGAGCCCTTAAGGATCGTTTACATTTCTTTTGTAGCTTGAATGCCTCCGATCCCATATCATGCAACTTCCATTTCTCCGAAACAATTTGCCAAGCTCTCGGAAAGGTAGCCCACACATCCTCGAACTTGATCCAATGCGTGTAATTCCTATTACCACCCTCCAGCACAGAGCAAAGAATGGGGCAGTGATCCGACACAATCCTTGTTAAATGAAGCACCTTCAGCCCCTAATAATTGTCCAACAAAGCCGAGCTGACCAAGAACCTATCCAACCGACAATAGATCCGGCTCCTCGCATCCTTATTATTAGTCCAAGTGTTGGCCGGACCAGAGAAGCCCGGGACCACCAGGTCATTCGCAGCCATGAAGTCGCCCATATCACACGCCACTTGAGAATAGCTGAACGGCCTACCACCCTTCTTTTCTCTAGCCGCCGAATGCAGTTAAAATCCCCCCCAACCACAATCAGAACCTCCGCATTATGGTGGCTAGAGATGTCATCCCAGAGCTGTCTCCATACATACCTATCATTGTCCGCATAGACCATAGCAATCTCCCACACAAACGTGTTCGAAATACTAAGGGTCCCCATGATGCATTGATCAGATTAGAAGATCACCTCGAAAGAGCCAACCGAGCCCTTCCACATGACAAGTATGCCCCCTGCTATGCCCACCAACAGTTGATAGCAAAAATCCCAGCTCCTACCAACCAGTCTATCAATGTCCCGTCTAGAAAAATTTTCATCTTAGTCTCGAATAAACCAATGAAGCTGACTCCCCGTTCCCCAACTAGGTGCCATAAAAAATTACCCGTCTCCTTCTTACGGGCACCTCTACAGTTCCAGTAAAGAAGACTAAACATTATCCACCAAAGGGGAAGCGTCCCCGCCGCAGAAGACCTCTGAGAATACCTCTTGCCATTATTCTGCGAAATCACCTTCGATCCTTCCATTAGTCGACCGATCCATGACATTTAAGGCATGTGCCCTGGAAGGAGAAGTCGCCATAGTCCTCTACTCCTTATTCCGCTTGACTCCAGGTAGCTTTTGTAAGGGGCCATAATTCCCCAATTCCTTAGTTCTTTTGTCTTTGGCCTCCCTGGTCTTTCCATTTTTCACCTTAAGAGGATTAGATTTCAAACCTGAGAATCTCAACACCCTTGGGGCTAACATTTGGGCTGGGGAGGCTGAGCTGTTATGACGATTCTTCCGATACGCAATCGGTCCACTCACCACATCATGGGCAAGCCCATCCTCCCCTGTCCTGGCCTCCTCCATATTCAATTCTTGCGGTAACAGCACCTCCTTACTGCCCACTTCCATTTGCAAAGCTACTTCAGGTTTCCCCATAACCAGTTCCCCAGTGCCTGCCAGGCTAGATGAGGGAAAGCTGCTGTGTTCAATACTCATATCCATACTCCCCGAATGTTTGGTCACGTTCAGATTTTCCCCCACCATAGGATGAATCACTCAATTCGATAGCTTGCACTGTTCCACACCCTCCGCACTGGACGACTTCCCAACTTATCGTGGTGTCATGGTAGATTCCTTACCAGTCGAACTCCCCTCCCTCATCGGGTTCCCCTTGGGGACATTTCCATCCGCCACAACCTTCCAGGTTGTGCTATTGGTTGCTTTTCTGGGCATATTGAGTTGAGCATTGTTTACATCAGTGGGTTTTGCTCCGAATTTGGTCGGTCTAGATCGCCTTCTTCTGTTCACGATAGTCCATTCTCCTTGATCCACATTCCCCGTGCTGGAATCCCCGCCAATCGAGCCAGATGCATTAACCACGTTACCGTCATTCCCCCGATCCACCTCCATTTCTTTCAATTGGCCATTGGCAGTGGGCACCTCATGGCCCCATGCAGGATGAATCCACATAGCGGGAGGAACCGATTCCCTACAGCCCTCCGCCTTATGACCAACCTTCCCACATGCCTGGCAAATTAGAGGGATGCCCTCATATTCAACCGGTTGGAAAAATGCTCCTCCCAGCCCATTCGCCCACACTCCTTTAGGCAGCTTCTTAGAGAGGTCTAATTGGACACAAACACGAGCAAAGGCACATCGGTCCCACCTCTTAGTTTGTTTGTCCATGTATAACGGTTCCCCCACTCCAGCAGCCATCCTCACAAGATTGGCCTCATCCCAATATTCCAGTGGAAGATTAGGAAGGCGAATCCAAACAGGTGAAGAGAACTTCCTACCCTGTCTAGATCGAGCTCCAATAGTCCATTGTTCAACCCCAATAATCTGGCCGGCCACATACCAAGGCCCTCCCAGCATAACTTTATCCCTGGCATCAACATCCTCAAACCATCCAAGAAAGCAATCCGCTCCCAATGGCGTGACTTGGGACAATCCGAGGTGTCCCCACTTCCGTTGTAGTTCATTTTGTACAACCCAGAATGGCACTCGCCGCCCAAGCAGACTGCCAACCAGCGCCCGATCAAGTTTCTGAATATTCCCCCAGGCCTTATCCAGGTCCAAATTCACCATTCCATCCTCCCGCATGAAGGTCTTGACATCATCCTTCAGCCTAAGGGCAATTGGCGCAACCTTCTACCAAGCATTCACAGCATGTTTGGTCGTTTGGTTCAAATCCACAGCCGCCTTAGCTGAATTCCCCGTCAAGCCAATAGACGGGGAAACCTCTATGGCATTACCACAAGCACTTTGTGGGCAAACTGTAGTAATGCTAGTGGCGGAGCCCTACCCCATAGGCAATTTCCCACCAAGTTGCAATTCCATAGTTGCCTTCACCTCATAGCCCCCACCATGCTGGTTCCACAACCTTTCCAACCATTCGGTCACAAACCCAACTCTGCAATCCGGCTCCGGTTACCAAACTTGAACACAGGCATTTAAGGTTCAGGAACTGGGAAAGCAGACCTAGTTTCACTCCCACACCTCATCCCGCCAACGCCCAGATCAATCTCCTTAGATTTCCGGTCAGCAACCTCCCCTTCAACCTCCATGAGCTCCTCTTGAACAACGGGGACTCCCGAGTCCACCAGAGATTCCGGTCGAATGCTCCTATGAAAATCCTCCAGAAATTTCTCCACCTCAATACCACCCATGATCTCCATACCCATCGCCGACCCGGGAAGGCCTTGAATGCCTTCACAATGGT